TGAAGGATTTCCTTGAAAAAGCTGGCAACATCACGTCATTAAAAGAAATTGCTGAAACTGTAACGAATGAAACCAAGTGGATGTGGCAGGTCACGCTAAACTCGAACTAAAAAAATATCGGAGCTATGGAAGAATCGGTTGAGTCAAGAAGAGGAACAGAGCTTCGGTTCGTGCTGAGTGCGAACATTTTGAGTTCGAACTTCAAGTTCGTAAAGTTGGCCGGCATAGGTTCGACAGAAATCTCCATTTTCTTCTGACTCGTCGAGTGCAAAAAGGCAGACGACTTGAAAGGTTCGATAGAACATATTTGCACAAATTCCACCAGCCTCTAATGAAAAAAAAAGATTCAACGGAATTGGAATACCACATGATACTATATATTTATCTAAGCCAATATCATTACCGTGAATGCCTGCTGCCAAGGCAGTCATTTTGGATCATGCCATGGTGAAACACCATTCAAAAATGAACGTGTTTTCTCGTTCACTGTGACTTTTACTCCTTCAACAAACTTTTCAATAACGTAAAATCCGTAAACTTTATAACATGTGAAGTGTCCTTAAAAAGGTTAAGAGGACTTTACAGTACACGCTTTTACGTAATGAAAACGTAAAACCTACCTCTATACCGTTTTTAAATTAAAAGGCTTTGTCTTTGGGCCATTGTGGTTACCGACCTGAATTTTTCTCCATCATTTTAGTCCTTTTACCTGTCCGTAATACCGGTTTCACAATCTCCGTAGTCTGGATAAGTCATTAGGGATATGTGTCTCACAGGGCTTTCGGGCCTAGGAAGATTCCAACATGCCGAATGCCATATATTCATTTGTGATGAGGATAGAAGGTAGGGAAAGGATGGATGGCGTGAGGGGACGAAAGTGTGTCATGGGGCGAATCGGGACTTTCTGATTGCTGGTCAGGTATGCTACCATTACACCACCGAACCCGGGACACTTGATCAATCCTCTCCCTACCATCCCTATCTTCTTCTTTCTTCCTTAATCTCCTGCTTTTACCACTTCATTACTCCGTACCTTTCATTATTGGTCCTTCTTTTATTTGTTAGTTGTATTAATTTACATACTACATTTTCTTTATTGGTTTCTTTCATTTGGGCTGTTCCTCCAGGAATCCAGAGGGTATATGCACTTAATTCATTTCGTCTCTTGTGATTATACCGTACTGTACAGTATGTCGGCTCATCGTTCCCTTGCGTTTTGTTTCGTTATTCAGTCTTGTGTGAATCAGTTTCACTGTAAGCTCATAACTTTCTTCATTCTCGAGACCTTAAACGTAAAAACACCATCACATTCACACCTTACCTTCTCACCTATGGTCTACTGAAACTTCACGATAAAGCATCCGATGACGGATACAGCGCTTACGAAATAGTCTTTATGGCATTAAAGGAGATCATCCTTTCCAGCAGTGTTGAGACTCCATCCACCTCGTAATGAAGAAGTAACATTTTAGTACTACTCCTTGAAAAAATCCCACGACTTTTTCGAGACTCAAATACTCTATACGACGACAATGGAAAATCAGAGGTATAATATCGCATAGCGTTTCCAATGAGATACAAAAAACTTTACACCTAGAATTTCCAAAATCGGTTTCAGAAGGTGTCAAACGAAAGGCGAATCTTGGCTCCTCCCCTTTACTCGCTGTAGGAAAAAGAGGACAGAGTATACATAACAGTCTTTGCACTCTCTCTCACTTTGAGAGCGACGGACTTCTTTGGGCTTGGCACGATTCCAATAAGAGCGACTTCGAATGACTATCATTATCGAGCAACATTTATTCACCTGGGTTCTCCTGGAATCGCCAAGTCTTCCCAACAGTTTCGCGGGGGGAAAGATGGATCCCGAACGAGGAGTACTTGCGATTTTCTTTTCAATGGCTTTAGAGATGGAATGGCTGAGTTCGTCCTGCCAAGCCATCTCGTGTAGGTTATTAGTATCTTTTGAGAATATCCTAATTATTGTACATTCGTATAAGGTGTAGATATTGAGGGTTAAATTCAAATCGCCAATCACGAGGAACTCTACACTCTTAAAAAGAGGGGAGCGATTTTTCTCAAAAAAGAGAGTAAAATAGCTAACTCCAGTTTCACCCCCTCCCCCCCCCCTTCACTCTGGGAAATGAGCGAATTTACTCCATCACCCAGGAGTAAAATTGCTCTCTTCCTCCGTGAGTCAAAACGCTCTCGTCAGATAGTGATAGGGATGTCATGCTAATACGAACATTCCCATTTACACTCACGCTCACGTACAGGCGTTGACCTACCTCTGCCTGTACTGATTACAGCACACGTCAGAGGGTGGACCACCTATTATAGGTTCCGTAGAGTGTCGGGATATCAGTCCCGACTGATTATTACCTCATTTAATTGAGATATGATTGAATGAAGTTCACGGACATTATCTTCACATGTTAGATCTCCTATGCGGATAATATATTAGGCGTTCCAAAAGGGTTCTCAATAAGAATATGAACTTGTTTATGTTCTGGACTCTATGGATATGTCTTGAATATGTGGATAAATGATTAAGTGTCCGTGTTTATTGATTCCTATAATGAGACTAGACGAGACATATGGCAAAATACAAAACAATCCTACGAGGGACGATTCCAGGGAAAGAAGGAAGGGAGCTTTTGTTTACTGTGCGAAAAGCGAGACCCTTACCTCCATCTAGTGGCCTGTCGAGGAACTTCAAGGTGTTCACTTCAATACGAGCGATAAGGGAGCATTTGGTGATTAATAAATTCGAAACGCTGACGGTGTGCTCAGTCTTTACTCCCCAAACGCTCGGAATTTTCTAAGAGTGTGGTCTCACCAAGGATCATCCAACCGATCTGCTACTCGACGTCGGACGATCTGGGGACGGCCACGGACGCGTGCAACCAGAAGACCTACGACCCGGGGGAGGCTTCAGCAAAAGCCGGAGAAGCAAGCAAAAATCCTTCAGAATCTGAACATGGCCGTGTTCGCCCAAGCCTCGAAGAAATGCCTTGGCCGCGACGGACAGATCGTCTGCGTCCGCGGAAGAAACCCTTCCAGTGCGCCTTCATTCGTATATTTCAATCTCCGCCATTTTTCCTGGAGGCACGCAAATATTATAGGTAATAGGTAAACGGCCAAGGAAGGGGAATGAGAGAACGGCGTTCTAGGAAACCGACATGCTTTTCCCATACTTGAAGAAAAAATCTAGCGAACCTACGTCTGAAAATGTTCCCGACGAGAGTGGTCACAGGGGAATAAGAATTAGGCGGCCTGTCTTTCTTATCCGTAATCGTCTTGAAATTACGTCATTCTATCAATAGTTACCGGCCTAAATTTTCCAGATCACATTATTCCCTTTACCAGTCCAAAATGCCTGCTTCACAGTCTCCCTAGTCTAGATATTCCGTTATCGACAAGTGACATATTCAGTGTCTCTCGGGGTTTCCGAACCTTGTAATAATACGTCCCGACATCCATATATTCATTCTTTCTTCCGTCTTTATTTTTTAATTTCATTCTGTCTGCTGTGTGATCCTGAAAAATTGAAAAAAGTCTTGAAACATCAGCGCTTGCTTGAAAGTCGAGTGGGAAAGTTAGTCTGAAGGTACCGGTACCGTTTTGGGTACCGCACCTCCCTTGAGCGTGGCAGACCTAATTTATTCACGAATGGGATCGGGTTTGGCATAATTCCAATACGAGGGACTTGGAAAAGAATATTCAAGCTGAGCGACATTTATTTCTAGCCAGTCACCTGGGTTTCGCCTTGCACCAGATTTCTTCCAAATTCAAGTCATTAAGGAATTGCCAAGTCTTCCCCAAATGTTTCACGCGGGGGGAAGATGAATACCGCATGAAAAATACACGCCATTCTTTTCAGAGATTGAATGGCTGATTCGCCCTGACAGGCCATCTCGCGTAGGTCCTTAGTAAATATTTCCTGCTGAGAATATTTTCATGATTATACATTTTCGTGCGATGTCATTGTTGAGAACATAACTCAAATTGGCAGGCTCGAGGAACTACTGACCGAAACAACACTCACACATGAGACGGAATGCGTCGCCATTTCGATTCCAAAAGCATTTTTTTATGTGTCGCAAGCTTAATCCCACTTTATATTCCTATGATCTCTATTGGGTGCCCAAGAGTCGATATAATCGTTTCGTTTCATTCGGCATCGGAACATTTCCCCCGAAGCCTGAAGGGGCTAATGTAATGGTAGTCCTACAGTCCGCACAACGGGATCGGACGGATCGTAACTGATAATTCGAGAAATTCGAGTTGAGGGTCCTCCTCACATATGTGAATAGCCCCCCACTCCACCTCATCAAAGATATCCAGATCCTGACTGGAAAACTCGGGCAGGAATTCGTCCGACATGGTGAACTAAATTTCCAAAGAAAGAACCGAGCCGAACTGAAAATTATTTCGTACGCAAAGGAACCGACACGACATATGCAGTTGAAACCGAAAGCCGCGATTACAATAGCTAGCGAGAATTTTAATTGAATACCAAAGTTCCGTTATTTTTTTCCTCTTGAAATTATTAGCTGACTAACGCATGACAACGCTTGAAGAGTTCATATGAGGTGTAAAAAGAAGGGAAAAAAATGAAAAAAAGCAAAAAACTCACATTTACGATGTCGAAATGGTTTGAAGAACCAAACTGAAAGCACACTCATTGGATGTAAGAGCACCGATGAATGTCAGATTCAACTTAAGACTGTCTCAGCAGACCAATGCATTTTTATACTTGAGGACGTGTTTTTTGTTTTCGCTGTTTTCCGTTTTGCAGCACCTGTTCATCCTTAAAACACGATTCCTTTATTGTCTCCTCTCAAAATACATATACAATAAGATGCTTTTCTCTTTCTTTTGATGTCCAACCATGCTAAAAATCTGCACATTTCAGCCATTATTTTTCTGTTTTACGGCACCTGTTCATCCTTAAAACACGATTCCTTTATTGTCTCCTCTCAAAATACATATACAATAAGATGCTTTTCTCTTTCTTTTGAGGGTTAATCATGGTAAAAATCTTTTTCAATTTTTATTCCCTTTACTTGCTTTGAAAAAATATTTTTGAAGAATGGGATATTAACTGCTATGGAAGATTCCAGCAAAACAGGCTGTTATTGTTTTTCCCAAAAAGAGGACAAAAGTGGTTATTTGCGAGAGGGATGTGTGAGAAATTGTCTCGGAAGGGGAGGGAAATTCAGGGAGTTTACGTCCCTCTCGCTTCAGTTCAGAGTCGGAAGCCACACGTTGGAGAGCAAGCATCTGTGACTACCACCATGACCACGAGTGAATCCACTTCCATCTTTTCTCCATCTCGCCCGTTGTAAGTAACTGACTTTCTCTCATCTCTCTCCTGCCAGACGTTCACATGTGCTCCAACTAAAATCCTAATGTTGTCCTCAGATCTCGGACACTGACAGTCACGGACGATAAGGTTTTACGGACCAGTGTAGAGTATGACGGGGAAATCATCATCTATTTCGGAAGCCGCACTCAACCCCACAGAGGTGTTTTCATGCTTCAAGGGACATGGGATGAAATGGAAGAAATTATCAAGTCTCTTGCTTTTATGAGACTGACTGATCCGTGCAGATTGGAGGGGACAGACATTTACTTACAAGAGAAGGTCTACCAGAATCAAATGGTGTTGGACATTAGAAAACGGAGGCATGGAAAAGACGCCAATTATCATATCCTCCATCACACTCATCAGGGTGTGACGCTCCAGATGTCGACAATTCGAAGGAATCTCATAGCACTTCTTCCAAAAATGCGGGACGTCATCAAGGAACTTTTGAATGCTTCCATAACTTTGAATACCGTGAAGGATGTGCTATTACGAATGGTTACTGATGACAGAACAAGGTCTTGGTGCGATGGATGTGAAATCGACGACCCGTCTCAGTTTCATCATGAATGTCTCACGTTGCTTCCATAACTTTGAATACCGTGAAGGATGTACTATTACGAATGGTTACTGATGACAGAACAAGGTCTTGGTGCGATGCTACACTTTAGCTGCTGGGCAGAGTCAAAGTAGTACTTACAGAGTGCGAACCTGGTCTAGAAAAGTTAGGTGAGAAGGTTAGGACCAGCCTCACCCACTTAAAGTCCCACTACAGGTCTGAACTTCTCATAAATATTGATGAGCTGATTCAGAGAGTGCAGGAGCGCTTTTCTACATCGGAATCACTCATAAAAGAATCCCTGGAGTTTTTACAGAAAAATGTGGAAAAATTCGCCAGAGAAACTGAAGAATTTTTCTTGAAGAAGGATTCTTACGTTCTGCCAGATGAGGTAGTGACGGCAGAATAAATGAATGATTGAGTTTGTATTTTTGCCAATGAAAGAAAGTGTGAAATTTGAATGTGTACACGATGAATAATTATTGTATGTGCTTTTCTTTTGCATGAATAAAGAGAGTGCAATTTCATCTTGTCAAGAAAACATTTCATTGAATACAGTGAAAGACAAAGACACAAACAAAACATGCAAAGAGAAATAGACATAATAAAAAATTTTAAGTGGAAACTTCTGCAAGAGGAAAAATTATGGAATAACACAGTCGAAAGATGGGGGGACATTGTCGAAAACATTCTTGCAAAATAAAATTCTTTGAAGAAAAAAAATTCCCACATAAAAGGAAAATAGGTGAGAACAAAAAATTTTCTTCTAACCAAAAAAAAATGATAACGCTTAAAAAAAAAAAAGTAAACGCACTAGAACAAAAAATCCCCTCCCAGGAAAACCTGCAGAAAAATAACTATATCAGACAGAAACTTTGATAAAGAAATCAAGAGAGCATGTCAATATGGTGTCCACGTTTGACGTCCTTCTGAAGTTTGTGACGTTTAAAGTAACTATATCAGACAGAAACTTTGATAAAGAAATCAAGAGAGCATGTCAATATGGTGTCCACGTTTGACGTCCTTCTGAAGTTTGTGACGTTCCCGAGCGCGAACTTGGAGAAGAAACTTGAGCTTTCATCTGTTGGAGTCGCTTCTTATTTTTTATTGCCGTTTCAGAGACGTCGATGTCCTTCAGTGCGGTGTAAAACTCTTGAGATCCTCTAGGCGCTTTCTTTCCTCTCGCATTGACGGCGTCATGAACGAGATCCAGGATGTTGGTATCAGGAACGGTTTTATTTTTAATTACTGAGCGTCCCCATGTCATCCCAAGATATTTTGGAAGGATGCGTTTTCATTCTCTGCATGATTGATGCCGCTGCCCGTTTCATGTTTTGGGGAACGAAGGGCAGAATTTCTTCTTCAATGTCTGCACTCGATATTGGAGTTTCGTTTTCATTCTCCTCTGTGTCTGATGATTCGGGATGTCCTGTACCAGTGCTTTGTTCTCCTTTCGCCTGATCATGGCATACTATGAACCGAGAGAGAGCATGCTGGTATAACTTCGCCTTTTGTGCGTCATCGATGTCATTCCGTTGTAGAATTCTTTCCATCTCTCAGTCCAGAGCTGTTAGTTTTTTCACAGAAGGAGGAGTAAGCAACTGTTTCTGCTTGTAAGCGTTAAACATATCTTCAGAGACGAGCAGCATTTTTTTGGCCATGGCTACAGACCCGCGGCTTTACCTATGGCCCTCCCTGCCAATCCACCGAAGACGGATAAAATCGGCCCTAGAACGAACGGCAGGAAACCTCCTTTTAGTTTTAGTAATCTCTTCTTCTTCTTAATGCCCACTCTCTTGTCCACGAGATCTTCGAGCACTTTGTTGTATGGACGCAACTTGTGCAACTGATGAGGTGGCAAGGCGCAATTCTCGTTAAGTACATTCAGGATGCACTCGCAAATTGCTTTGATTTGCTCCTTTTCGGCCGTCTCGATATTAGCTTTCCTCTGCTTTGGTTTGCATTTTGAAAGGAGTTCCAGATATCCCTTATGCTTGAACACCTTTTGACTCGGCGAGGACGTCATTTAGGCACAAAAACGATAGTTTGCTCGTAAGGAAGCACGCAC